ATATTGATCCATTCCAAGAATTTACAGATATTGAAATTTGGGAATCAATTGAAAAAGTTAAATTAAAAGAAACAATCAATTCTATGCCATTGAAATTAGAAACACTATTGCAAGAGAATGGTGATAACGGTTTTTCATATGGTCAAAAACAATTGTTATGTCTTTGTAGAACAATTTTAAAAAAGTTTAAAATCATCCTAATGGATGAAGCAACAAGTTCAATCGATTACCATACTGCTCAACTAATCAAAGAAACTATTCAAGAGAATTTCAAAGATTGTACAACTTTAACAATTGCACATAGACTAGAAACAATTATTGATTGCAATAAAATAGCAGTAATAGATAGTGGTCAATTAATAGAATTCGATACACCCACAAATTTAATGAATATTCCAAACTCTAAATTTAATAAATTAATTAAATCACAAACTGATTATAATAAATAAATAAATATTAAAGTAATAAAAAACAAATAAAAAAAAAAAGAAATTCCTTTTTAACTTTATTATTTATTCGATTGCAAAAATGACTGGTTTAATTCAATAGATGTTTTGGATTTTGTATTGATATCATACAAAACTTCTTGATTGTTAATAAAAGAGCTAAAATCACACCCCCCCCCAATCGAAATAATCACACTTGCAAAATAATTTTTTGTAAACTTTGTTTTTTTTATTTATATAAACATTTCTATTTTAAATAATAATCAACTTCTTCTATTAATTGTAATAAATTCCATTTATTTTCATTAATATTTTTTTGAATGAATGATAAATTTGTTAACAATTCATTGGAGTTTGGTTTTTGAATTGATTGAATTTCAATGGTTGAATATTTTGGATAATCTGAATCCAAATAAAGATTACAAGTGAAACCAGTTGGTAATTGAATTGAGATCTCACCATAATTTTTCAATGGTTGGCGTTTAATTTTGAAACGTAATGATAAATCTTGAATCTCTGCTTCCATTAGATAATAGTTTGAAATTATATTTTTAAATTCCCCAACCAAATCACCAATATCACTAAATGATTCTAATGGTTCATTAATATTTGAAAAATCTGATATTGTATCTTGTAACACTTTATTAAGTTCATTAATATTTGGTACTAATTTATAACCTTTTATAATTGGTAAATTCTTTTCATTGTTTTTATTATTATCATCATGATTATTATTATCGTTATTTTCTTCCAATTCTATTATTAATTTATGTATTTTAGGTGTATCAATTTTTAATTCAAATTCAATTTTTGAACCTTTTATAATATTATTATCATTATTTGGTATTATGTATAGCCCACCCATTGATTCTAAAAATTTATTATATTTTTTATACCATTGAATTGATGAATTTAAATTATTATTATAATTTACAACAGTGTTGTTGCTGTTATTATTTTTATTTGTTAATTTATTATTAATTGGTGTTGTTGTTGTTATAGAATTATTACTAACTAATTTTAAAATTCTTTCAATTAATTCATTCGCTTTACTAATTGAAGATTGTAAATTTTGTTTCTCTTTTTGATATTTTTCATTCATTTCTGAGAATCTACTAATGATCTCTATGATCTGTTCAAATGCCTTTTTTGTTTTCTCTTTATTATTATTGAAATCATTTTTAATCTCCTTTAACTGATCCTCCAAACTATGTACATTGTGTTGACTTGGTGTGGTGATTTGTGTCTCTGATATGATCTCTTTTATAAATAATTGTTTAGTACCATTTTCTATATAATTCCATTTCATCTTTGAAAAACAATCCTAATTATAAAAAGTTTATTTTTTTATTTTAATATCACACATATGATTGCGAATATTATATTTTAAAAAAAAAAAAAAATAACATACCTGTACTATACTCAATTCTTTTTCAATACTATTTAAATTCTTTTTATCAAATCCATTATTATAATAATAATCTAATAAACCTTTATTTAATTGACCAATCTCATCGTTGTACCTTGTTAATAATTCCCCAACCTGATTAACAAATAAAATATTATTATCATTATTTGAACCCATTATTTATTTATACAGAAATCTTATTTGTTATTTTGTTGGTTTTAAAAAATTGAGAAACAATTAGAAAAACCAAAAAAAAAAAAATATAAAAAAAAAAAAAAAGAGCGGGAGGATTTTTTTTTTTTTTTTTTTTTTTTTGTTTTAAAAATATTATTTGGAAATGATTACCAAATAATATCTTTTTATATACAGTTTATTTATTTTTTATTGTTTTTTTTTTTTAAAAAATTTTTTTAGTTTTTTTTTTTTTTTTGTTATTTTTTTTTTTTCTTTATATTACAAAGTTTTTTTTTTTTTTTTGTTGACAAACTCTATTAATCATCAGAATTTGGAATATCAGCAGAAATGATTACAGGTGTTGCTAAAACTCTTTTTTTAATATAAATTGTTTGTGATTTTTTAATAACTTTTTTTCTTTGGACTTGGTGGACTTGAACTGATCGTTTCTTTGATTCAGAAATCAAATATTGAACAATGGATTGTTCAGGTAAAGGTTGCATTGGTCTTGATTTTCTAAGAACGAGGATACGTTGACCATTATTGGTGGTATGGCTTTTACTATGTAGAGAATAGTAAGAGGCTAAACCATGGATAATTAATCTCTTTGATGGATTATCTTGGTTGAACTCCTTTCTGTTGATTGGGGTTGAACCATATGGACAATCATCACCTCTGATGAATGACAATATCTCTTTCTCAGTCTCTTGAACAAAATGGCTATCCATTAAAAATGATTTCTTAAAGAATGGTCTTAGATTTTTCTTTAATTTTGAAAATAATTCATTATCTTCATTACCGCTTAAAGAGTTGTTGCTGTTGTCATTATTATTTTTGTCGTTATTCTTTTTTCTTAAATTTGATTTCTTTGAAGAGGTTGAACAATTATCTAGTATCTCTTGTTCTTGATCACATGATATGTTTACACAGTTATCAAGATAATATTTTGAATTTTGTTGATCTTGATAGAAGAGGGTATTTCTTTGTTCATAAAAGTTGTAATCCATTTCAATGTCACCATTGCCACTACCTAAACTACCGGCAGTTTTTAAGAATTGAGTATTTAAATAACGATTGAATCTCTTTGTACCCGGTTTACCTGGTGAATCACGAAATGCTAATGAATCCCTATTGGACTTTGATTTCTTTTTATTGGCTGCTACTGAATGTAAGTTTGAAAACTCACGTGCTACCGAATAATCATTTCCATTATTTTTATTATTACCTCTTGATGAGGCCAATGTTGAATTCTTTTTATCTGCTTCATCATTAATCTTCATTCTATTTTATCATTTATTCATATAGTATGATATGATAGTTATGATCATATTATTATATGATGGTGATTATGATAGTGATGATGGTGATATGATGAAAATAATTATTTTATAAATAATTATTTGTGTTAGGGTTTTTTATTAATTAATTTATCATCCATTTTTATAGTACACAAATTGTGTATTTCTATAAAACTATTAATGGAGATATGGTGTCGTTGTACCCATTTTATTTATATAGTCTTAATTTTTCTTGGTTTTTTTTTTTTTTTTGGGAAAAAAAAAAAAAAAAAAAAGATATTAAAAAAATAATATAAATGGTACAAGTCATAACCAAATTACTACTAATAATTCTAGCAAATAACAATTAATTAATAATTATTTTATACATACTGTTCCCAAAGAATCTCTGTAATTCTTTTAATTTCATTTGTGGCCATGATTGAATGTATATGTATATTTGTAATTTGATGTGTTTTGTTTTGTTTTGTTTGTTTTGTTTTTTTTGTTTGTTTAATAATTAAAAAAAATATAAAAAAACTTTTTAAAAATTAAAATTTTCAGTTGTTTTTTTTTTTTTTTGTCTAAATTTGAAATGTTGTTTGCTTTTTTTTTTTTAAAAAAATTTTTTTATTTTTTATTTTATTTTTTTATTTTATTTTATTTTTGTTTTGTTTTGTTTTTTTAAAAATTTTTAAGTGTTAATATTTTGTTTTATTATAATAAAAGAATGAAAACATGGAAATTTCTTTATAAAAAAACTGTAAAAAATGAAAAAAAAACACATATGATAAAAGTGTGGGTGTGGTGAAAGTTATAATTTTTTATTTTTTCAGATCTGTGTGGTCTTTTTTTTTTTACACAATAATAATATATTTTAAAAAAATATGATTTTTTTTTTTTTTTTTTTAATTTGAACAGTTTTTTTTTTTTTTTTCCTTCTTTTGTTTTTGAAAAGACTTATAATTACCTTTAAGTTAAAGTTATGACTAAGCAAATTATTAAAGTGACTAATGAAAAAAAAAAAAATTAAAAAAAAATTAAAAAAAAAACAAAAAATTAGAAAATTAAAAAATAAAAAATAAAAAAAAAATAAAAACTAAAGAAAACTTTCTCACTTTTTTCACAAAGTGTTCTCAAAATCAAAACGTTCATATGAAATTTTTTTTTTTTTATAGTTTCTACAACTTTTGTTTTTTTTTTATTTTTATTTTTATTTTTTTATTTTATTTTTTTTATTTTATTTTTTTATTTTATTTTTTTTATTTTTTTTTTTTTTATTTTTTTTTTTTTTTTATTTAAACTTTTTTTTTTTCTTTTCATTCCATTTCTTCATTTCCAAATATTCTTAAAAATAAGATTAAAAAAATAAAAATAAAAAAAAAATAAGTAAATGAAAATATGAAATAAATAAATAAATTAATAAAAAAAAAGATAAGTAATTGAAAATATGAAATAAACTAAAAAAAAAAGTTAAGTAATTGAAAAAAATGAAAAAAATGAAAAAAAAAAAAAGATAAGTAATTGAAAATGAGAAATTGAAAATGAGAAATTGAAAATGAGAAATTGAAAATGAGAAATTTAAATATAAAATTAAAAATATAAAATTAAAAATATAAAATTAAAAATATAAAATTAAAAATATAAAATTAAAAATATAAAATTAAAAATAGTGTGGTTTCATTGTTTCACTAATAAAAATAAACCAGTTAGGGTTTAATGGTTCTTGTTTAAATTTTTTTTTTTTGGATTCAAAATTTATTAATCGATTTTCCTAATAATTTAAAAAATGATTATTTGTTATCCAAAAAAAAGAATTTAACAAGAGCCGTTGAGTCCTTTCTGATTTATTAATTATTTGTTGATTAATTTATGGAATTACTATTATTTTTATTTTTATCATTTTTAATATTATTATAATATTTTAAATTCAAAAATAAAAGTATGGAATAGTTCCGCCATTGAGATTCGTAAAAAAGGAGGGAGAGAAATAGAAATAGGTAAATTTTCCAAAATTAAGGAACCCATAGAACACTAAAAATAATTTAGGATGAAAGCCAATATTTTACAGTGGATAGAATCATTAAAATAATAAAGTAGTAGATATTCTACTATTTTTAATAAAAAATTAATAGAAAAATAAAACTCTAACCCTAATTAATTTGTTGAATTTTTTTTTGAAAATAAAAAAAAAAAAAAAAAAAAAAAAATGGGAGCGAACTTTTTTTTTTTTTTTTTTTTTTTTTTTTTTTTTTTTTTTTTTAAAATCATTTTTTCAAACAGACGAAAAAAAAAAAGAGATGATGATGCTCAACAATCAAATTAAATTCACAACTAATATTGTTGGATTTAGTAAAAGATTTTACTCATCAACATTATCAAAGAAAAAAATTTTAATTAGTGGTAATGATGTTGTTGGTTTATCATTAGGTATGTAATTTTCTTGAAAAAAAAAAAAAAAAAACGAATGATAAACATTTGATTTAACACATTCTTTATTTTTTAATTTTTTTATTTATTTTTTTATTTATTTTTTTATTTATTTTTTTATTTTTAGCATTATTTTTAAAGAAAAAAGGTATTTCAAGTGAAATTGTTGAAAGTAATCATTCAAAATTAAATGATACTGGTATTATTTTAACTCATAAAAATTTACAAGCATATAAAGATTATGTTGGTGAGAATTTATTAGAAAGAATTATAAATAATGGTAATAAATTGAATGGAAGTGGTTATTTTGCAAAGAATGGTGATGCTTATGGAAATTTAAATTTTAGTAAATATTCTAAATCAAATGATGATATTACACTTTTATCAACCACTGAATCGAAATTAAAAGAAATCTTAACACACGAATGTCTAAAATCTTTAAAAGATGGTGAAGGAATTGTAACATTTAAAAAAAGTATATTTAAAATTAAAAAAGTTCACGAAGAAAATAAAGAGAATAATAGTAATAATAATGATAAAAATGAAATTGATAATAGTAATAATATTTATTTAACATTTACAAATTCAACAAATAAAAATTATTATGATTTAATTATTGGTAGTATGGATCCAACTGAAAAGAATAATATTGATCCAATTAGAGAATATGTTATTGAAAAGAATACACCACAATTTATTGAGCCATCAATTTATAAACAAAGAATTGAACAAACCTATAGTTTCAATACAATAGTTGATTGTAATTTCTCATTAGTACCACCATTATTAATCACACAATTTTTAAAGGGTAAAAAATTGGTATCATTTTTATTACCAAATAAAAAGGTTGCTTTAACTGGTACATTCACAAGAGAAACTCAAATCACTGTTGAACCATCAAAATATAATCAATTGGTTTCAAGTGTATTTAAACAAATTGAAGATGTAAATGTTCATAGTATTGTTTCATTATATGATGTATGTAGTAATAACATTATTATTATTATTATTATTATTATTATCACATAGAGAAACAAAATAATTTATTAATAATTATTTATTTTTCCTATTTTTATTTTTATAAAATTATAGAATCAAAATGAATTAAATCTTTTCAAAGTTCCACAAACTCATTTAACAAATATTACACATAATTCAATTGTATTAATTGGTAATACAGCAGATTATTTACCACATGATAATGTATTTATAACATCTATTGGTATTGAGGATGCAAATAAATTGACACAACTTTTAATTGAAAATAATAATAATAATAATAATAATAACAATACATCAAATATTCAAACATTACTTTCTAAATTTAATGATGATAGAAAGATTAGATTGGCTAAATTTATGAAATTTATTAAAAAAGATCATAATATTATATTCAATTCAGGTAAAGTCTTTTTCATAATTGGTAAATATTATTTGAAATTCCATTATTTTAGCAAGAAACAATATAATCATTTTAAAGATTTATTATTTTAAAATAAAATTTTAGGGAAAAAAATTAAACTTCACAAATTAATTAATTGAAGTATCTTTTGTTTCTTTTTTTTTTTTTTTTTTTTTCTATTACTGATGTATTCTTGGGACAATGTTGGAAGATCTAATTTTTGTTTTTTTTTTTTTTTTTTTTTTTTTTTTTTTTTTTGGCCATACAATAATAACAAATAATGAGCACAATAGTTAAAAAGACATAACTTTTTGCATATAAGGAAAAGAAAACAAAAAATACATAAAAAATAAAAAAAAATAAAAAAAATTGGAAGATTTTTCAATGAAAATTTGGTTTTTTTTTATTTTTTTCATTTTTTTATATTTTCTATTATTTTTTTTTCTCATTTATTTAAGAGATAACAGGAAAATAAAATTTTTTTTTTTAAATTTTTTATTATTATTATTAAATAAATATAATAGTACATTTATTCTTATTTTTATTTTTTATTAATTTGTAAAAATGAACATTTTTAAAAAGTTATTTTCTAGAGTTGAAATTATACCAACAACAACTGAATTTAAAGAACCAACAACAACTATTCAAGGTAAACCAATCGTTGAAGAAAAAGATGAAAATGGTAATATTAAACCAACTAGAGTATTTAAATATGCATCAGATATACATTTAGAGATGAGAGATTGTTTAGAAAATATGAAAAAATTAAAAGGAATATATGAATTTGAAAAGAAACCAAATCATAGATACTTTTTAGCATTAGTAGGTGATATTGGTAGTCCAATTAAAGGTGAGAAATTATTATTAGAATTTTTAAAACTTTGTTCTAATCAATATGAAAGAGTTTTCTATATAGCTGGTAATCATGAATACTACAATCAAAGAGATTACACTATATTTGACATAAAATCCAAACTTAGAGAACTCATTGAAAATAATAAACTTTCAAATGTTCATTTTTTAGATAACGAAATTTATCAATTGGATGAATTTAGAATCATTGGTTCAACATTATGGTCATTGGTTGATCCAGATAATGAATTCGATGTTTCTAGATGTTTAAATGATTATAGAGTTATAAATGTACCATTAGAACAAATGTGTGACGAATTACCTGATAAAATTAGAAAGTTAGAAGTTGGAGATACAAATAGATTCCATAAAAATAGTGTAAATTTCATAAAGTATAATATGGGCATTAGAGATAGATATGGTCCCGCCGCTGATAAAAACACTAATCAACCACCTTGTATAGTTTTAACTCATCATGCACCACAATTTAATGATCATGGAAATCAAACATATACATCACATCCAAAATATCAAAAATCCGATAGAATAGGACAAGCATTTAGTACTGATCTATCCGAAATTATTAAACCACCAATTTCTGTTTGGATTTATGGTCACACTCATTTCACCACTGAATACAGTTATAATAATGTAAAGATTTTAGCAAATCAACATGGCTATGAATTTGGTGAAGATATTGATGAATGTAAATTTAATTCTGATCGTTATTTTATATTTTAAAATTATAAATAATAAATTAAAATAAAATAAAAAAAATTAAATAAATCGTTTTTAAAACTTTTTTTTATTTTAATATCGCTTTTTTTTTTTTTTTTTTTTTTTTTACATCTCTTCTAATTAACCAGTATTTTTCATTCCAGCAGAGATACCATTGAATGTAATGATTAAAGTATCAACTAATATTTGATCGACATCATTATTTGTACCATCTGGTTTTTGAGTTGAACGAAGTCTTTTAAGAGTTTCAACTTGAATATAATTGATTGGATCCATAAATGTTCTACGAATTGAAACAAAATGTTGAAGGATTTTATTATCTTGTTGGAGAGTTTTATGTTTTGTTAATTCCAAGATTGCATTTGTAGTTTTAGTAAGTTCATTTATCATTTCGACACCCAATGGTTGAGTTTCAGTTGGTACTAACATTTGATTGTAACGTGATGATATTTGTGGGTCAGTTTTCAAGAGAACCATTTCGACTAAATCGATAGTTGATGAAAAGAATGGCCATTCTTTGTACATTTCATTAAGATCTGATTCCCAACCTTTTAATTTTGCCTCTATTAACGCATCCTCAATACCTAACCAAACTGGTAAATTCAATCGATTCTGAGTGAAAGAGAAGACCCAAGGAATTGCACGTAAATGTTCAATACCATAGGAGGCTATTCTTTTAGCTGGACGAGAACCAATATTAAGATATGCCATCTCTGGCTGAACGGTCGAAGTTCTAAAATATTGAATGAATGATGGATTATCTCTAACAATTGATCTATATTTCTTACAAGAGGTAATTGAAAGTTGTTCCATAATTTCTCTCCAACGTTGTTTTGGTGGCGATGGTGGAGTTAAAGATTGTTTCAAGAGAGCTGTTGTGAATAGTTCAAAATTTCTAATACTTGTACCAGTTTGACCATAATGAGAGTCAATCATTTCACCTTGAATTGTAACTCTTGTTGAAGCGGATTTCAATGAACCACCAGGTTGAGACATAATACCCTCATGAGAGTTACCACCACCTCTTGCAGCTGTACCACCTCTACCATGGAACAATGTTAATTTCACGTTAAATTTCTCTGTCAAAGCTGCCAATCTCTCTTGAGCCTTAAATAATTCCCAACAGGACATGAATCTACCACTATCCTTGGCAGAATCTGAATAACCTAACATAATCTCTTGCTCACCATTTATTGTTTTTAGATACCATGGTTGAAGGAAAAGTTCATTCATAGTTTTTGGTGAAGAATCTAAATCAGCTGCAGTTTCAAACAATGGTACAACTCTTTGTGGGTTTTTATTACCTACTGCTTTTTGTAATAAATGAACGGCTAAAATATCGCTTGGACTTCTACACATTGAAATTACATAGGCACCCAATGAACCATCTGGTAATGATGCTGCAACTTTAAATGTATCCAATACCTCACGAAC